TATATATATATTTTTTTTTTTTCTTTTCTTCAGAGATTGAGGTCTCACTATGTTGCCCAGGCTGGTCTCAAACTCCTGGGCTCAAGTGATCTTCCCACATTGGCCTCCTAAAGTGCTGGGATTACAGCCATGAGCCACCGCACCCAGCCACAGTTCTGTTTTGATGTAAGAACAAGGGATTCGGAAAACACTGCATTAGGACCTATTGTCAACCAGGAGACCTAGGCAAGTTATTTAGCCTCTCTGAGCCTGTTCCAGCCTCTGTAGGACTGGCATTAAGAATAATGCTACAGAAACTGAGAATTATTTTTTCTATGAATAAATAGCAACCGTGAAGATGAAATATCAAAACACTTTGTAAACTTAATAACATCACATATATATGAGAGGGTAGTAGTTATATTTCTACCAGTGTTTATAGTTATTATAAAATTTAAAAATGGGGACAAGGTTTGACTCTTTATAATCTCACCTTCATAATTCCCACAGATGTGTCTTATGTTCATTCTTGTTATTCATATTGTGATCCCACAAGATTAAGAAGATTAATTAGCAGCAATGTTGGTGAAGAGATGTCATGGGTAACGTGCCCAGTATCACATGGTAAATCGTGTGGTTCAGAGGATAATTTAGAGTACTGTTCTGTTACCAAACTTAGTAACAGAAGTTTGATTTTTCTGTTGCTAAGAAACAGAAATTTCTTGATTCTGATTTTTTTTTCTTTAGTGTTGGAAGGACACTTCTTTAAAAAAAAAGTAGCAAAAACATTAAATCAAACTCAGCTGAGTTAGAATCTGCAATAATTTGAGTGCTGTATGCGTGATTCTTTTTAAGAAAACCAATGCTTGTGAAACATATGTAATGGAAAGTCTATTGTGAGTAGTAATTATTTTATTGATGTGCGTATTTATGCTACTGGGAATTTTTGTTGAGCTATTTGTACTTAAGAGTGAAAAATTACTCTTAGCGAGAAACAATAGAGTATTTGATTGACTTCAGGGAAGGGAAATACGGGCAACTTTGGGAGAAGAGGACTGGAGAGTGGGAAGAGTGGGTGCTATCCTTCTGTTTCCAAGTGGCAAGTCTTCTAGGTAGTTGATTGAGGAGACTAAAATAGATATAATCCTTACTTGTAAATGGAAGCTATAAGGATTTTAAATTATAAGAGGAGTTGTCAAAGCTAGAGAGTTGTGTTGAAAACCTGAGTATCAACCTTAAAGCAAGTAAATAAAAAAGAAAGAGTTTCTCTCTTTTAAGCTGTTCAGAGAATTAAGAAATAATCTTAAGAATCATCCTGGCCATGGATTGATAAAATAGTATTAATTCATACACAAAAATTGGTTTCTTGAGACTGGCTACTTTTTTGCTGAGTGTTTATCCTGTAAGTTTCCATTTTTGTAAATCATCATAATAAATTTTTTAAAAAGGAAGAGGCTGCTTACCCTCAGTACCGACAGAGTGGGATAAATGCCTACATGATTAGGCACTGCTACCCCCTCTTGGTAGCAAATATTAATTGTAAGTTCAGTTTTTAGGGAAGACAATTTTAAACATACGAAGCAAGCAAAGGAGAAATCATTGCAGTACACGGACAGTGGAGCAAGATAAAGTGAGAAAATGTTGTGAGTGGTCCACAGCTGAGTATGGCCCACTCCTAGGGAGACTGGCTTGTTAGCATTTCTGGACTGCAGCTGCTGTGGTAAGTAATTTTTGGGTGGCAACTTGGCTGACTTCCTCATTGTTGATTGCCTAATCCTGCATTTTCTCATATTAGCCAAGTGTGTCGCCACTGGAATCATGTCTGATCCTGGAATTTATGAAATCCACTGCTGTGTGGTAAACACCCAGTGTCCAAACAGCACACAAAACCATCATCCACTGGGTTTTGGCCCCTGATGACTACTTGTCCAACTTGTGTGAATTAA